CCCCTCCCACCGCCCCTCACCGAACCCGGGTACCACCCCCGGGGTCCCCCTCGCTTCCTGCCCCCCCCAGCCCCACGGTTTTCCTCTACGAGCAGGACCTGGCCCCGCTGCGCTACCAGCGCCTGGTGGCCTCTCACAGCCGCATCGTCCGCACCCCCTCGCTCAAGGACTACCCCCCGGGGGGCAGGGGACTCTCCAAGGCCACTGTCACCGAGGAGCTCAAGTCGTGGCACCAACGGGCCCGGCTCAGGGGGACCCGTCCCCACTCCCTCGACAGGCAAGGGGCTTTTCGGGGACCTCGTGGTGGGACCACCAGGGACCTGCCCATCGACCGTGGAGTCCTGCCGTGGGCTCAGGTAGGGAGTGGGGACTTGGCGAGGGGGGGGGGGGGGCGGGTAGGGTACCCACTGGGTGATGGGGGTTGTCACCCTGCGGTGGGTTGGGGTCCCATGAGGGTTCCCCAGGGAGGAGCAGGGTCCTGAGGGGGGTGAATGGGGAAGAGCTGGACTCCCATGGGGGTCCCTGGAGTCAGGAGCAGGGTCCTGGGGAGGTCTCTGGGGTAGGGCTGTGGTCTCAGGGTGGTCTTGGGGACGGGACCAAGGTTCTTTGGGGCAGGATTAGGACCTTCTGGAAGTCCCTCTGGGCAGGTCTGGGTCACAGGGTCCCACACGTGTCCCTGTGGCAGGAGCAGCAGCCCAGGGGAGGATGGGGGTCCTGAGGGGGTTGTGGGGAAGAACTGGGGTTCTTTGAGGGTCCCTTGGGGCAGGACTGGGGGAGCTCCACTGGGTAGACTCGTGAAGCGCCCCTGGGACCCAGTCCTGAGGGGGTCCCTGGGACAGGCACAGTGTCCCCAAATTGTCCCTAGGGCAGGATTGGGGTCCTGAGGAGGTCCCATGCCAGAACCAGGGTTTCATCTTGGCCACAGGACCAAGGTCCCTCAAGGCCCTTTGGGGCAGGATCACGACCCTCTGAGGGCCACTCTGGGTGGGTCCAAGAGCCCATGAGTGGGGCCTGGGGTCCCATAAGGGTCCCTGGGGCAGGAGTGGGACCCCGTGGGGGTCCTTGGGATCCCAGAAGGATCCCTCTGGTCACACCTGGGGTCCCACGAGCAGGACCCCCGGTTCCCAGGTGGGTCCCTGGGGAAACATCTTGTACCCCCGGGCAGGGCAGTCGGGGGCCACCTCCCTCCCCCCCGCGATCCCCCCGGGATGGGTACAGGCAGGGGACAGATGGCACAGGGGGGGACCT